GAACGGTTTTTGAGGCCAAGCAGCACACATTAGCACACTGAGGTGGTGGGTGGTGCATTTCAGCAGTTGTTATTGCAACCTGATGGGTCTTTACACACTGTATTACTCTCCAGAATGGGAACCTAGCTGACAGTACGGAAAACTCAGGCTGTATTCTGAGATTCACACAGGTGGATTTTCTTTCGCCATCTCAAGCATTATTATTAGCAGTAAAGAGACAGTTTGCTGAATTAGGCCCCTGTTGTCTCCTCTGTAACCTAGTGTACGATTATAACTGATTGGAACCAAGCAGACTATTTCAATGAGGTACTGGCAGTAACACCTTTAAGTCAACTCTAAATTATTTTGGCTCCCCAGGCGTAATAGGAATAAATTTTTGTCACTAACTAGATATGACTGGATACATACATACATCAGAGTTACAGAGAAAGAAGGTGCCATTTAATCTTGTCACTTTCCAGAGAAGAGCAATACTTTAAATAAGACCTGACAGAGCGCTGCTCTTTCTGGTGTCTGAATGGACAACTTGATACATTACTGTGTAACATCACCATTTGTTTGCAGTTCCTCAGCCAACTTCCAGTCCAGCTGGCTTGCATCCAAGCCATTTTGAATTGCTTTTGAAAGATTGTGTAAGGCACTCTGTCCGATGGTTTATTACCATAGAGATTTTCAGACAGATCATCCTTTTAGAAGTTTTTTTTTTTTTTTTTTTTAATCTATATTTCTATATGGTCCAGCAGCCCTGAAGCCAATTTAAACAACCTTTGGAGGACATCATTCAAAATATTCTCTTTTGACAGACATGCTGCAGCCCATTCCCTTTTCATGTTTGTTGTCTTCTCCCTTTCTTCCATGTTCTGGAAATATTAGTTTACTTGTTTGTTAAAAGTACCCCTTAAAATCAAAATTAAAATTAATGGAGACAAATATATATGTTGCTGAAAACTTGTTATCTTCTTAAAATCACCCAGTTTCTGGATGGCAGAATTATATAGTGCATAGGTTTTGAGTTAAGGCCTCAATTCAGCTTCTTTGCAAAGAGCTCTTTGCCAAGCTTTGTGCCCCTGGTCCTCTCCCTAAAATAAGAATTAAAAAACCTGACCTTTGAGATTTGTGATAAAAAGAATGTGTTGCAGTCATAATTATTCTTTTTCCAGTTTGTAACCTCTGATTTTTTTTGTTATTTTCTTACTTTTTTTTTTTAGGAGAAAGTAGTACTGAAGTTTTGTGTTTGTTTGTTCCTTTTGGGGACACCCAGAGACATGCTCCCTTTACATGAGACACTGAAAGGTACCTGGAAACACTGTTCTTTTGAGGCTACTCTTTCTGAAGAGTTGAATTAATATGAATAAAAATAATAATACAATAAAAGGTCTTGTTTTCATATTAGAAAGCATCTTCATTCCTTTTTCTGGTAAAGATGATAAGAAAAGCCGCTGGTGCAAATGGAGCAAATTTTGGTGTTTTTTAATGCTTCAGTGGGTAACTTTTCAGTAAGATGACAATGTTTCTTGCATTGCTGAGAAAGGAAATAATAGATTATATAATTTTTAGCTCTCTCTTCATCTAAAAATGTAATGTCATAACTCTTCCATTTCCATGTTTTCTGCTTCCCGTTATTTCTAAAAGAATGAGTCAGAGAAATGGAAACATAGCTGCTGTGAATAATTTAAAAGTGGTCTGAGAATAGCTAACCATTACTTCTGGTGATGCTGCTTGTGATGGTTACACAATGATAAGATTATCAAAAGAATTGTGGGAGACAGAAAAATGGAAGAGCTGCATTAAGTCATGCAGTCATTTTTGCTATTGTATGATTATGCCCTACATTAGTTTTACTAATGGCTTGTCTGGCTACCTCTGAAAACTCAGAGAAAATGGATTTCCAGTATTTCACCAAAACCACTTCTATACCTTCTGTATCCAGTGAAAGATTCTTCATAAAAAAATTTCATCGTACTACTCCTAAAGTCTGCTGCTACCAAAGACACTCCAGGTCAACAGAGACAGTGATCATTCCCATTCCCTTCATACAAGAAATGAAGAAACATATTTCATATTTCATATTTGTTCCATTACTAAAATGCATGACAATACCCATGAAGGATTCCACAGCATTTCATAAAAATTAGTGAACTTATTCAATACATTTCCTGATATTTTTTCTCTCATCTATTCTGTCCTTGCTCTTTCCATCACAAGTGACAATGCACAGCCCAGAGTTTAGAGTTTTTGTCCAGCCAAACTATTTCTGTTTCTCTCTGAAAATAGGATGACACCATGCTCATCCTAAATATTCTCCCATTAGCAAAAGGATAGGATAAATTTACTTTTCTGCATCTTCAGTAATTGTCAACAAATTGTGTAGTCCTGATTCTGTACGTGACTGATACTGAAGTTAAAGATGGGAAAGAATATCACTTGTTCCTTCATACTTGCTTTGAAGGCTAATACCATAAAAAGCAACTAATTTATTCTTATTTTTTTTCTGATTTCACTGTTAGGTAAAAAGAAATTTTGGCCTTGACATGAGCTAGAATGTGCTGAGAACTGTAAGATCAAATTAGACTGGGGTGGGAGGATACCATTTTCCCGACTGCAAATTCAGAACTTAACTGCCATTTGAAAACCAAGATATTCTGTTTGCTTTTCTTCTGTTAACACTGTTTTCATAAAAGATTTTAATCCTTAGCTCAGACAGAGAAAAGGTCTGGAATTATAGATATAAATGGCTCAGGGATACATGAAAGCAGTGGATAATTTTTTCTCTGTTGCTTGCCAAAACGGAACAGTGGATATTTCCCATTTGGCATTACTTTAATTAGCTGATTCCATTGTAACTACACAATTACCTATCTATTAGTATTGCTTAAGCTCTGTTAATTTTCTGAAAAAGTCTACCTGTGAAACAGAGCCCCTTTTTACAGCTCTACAGTGAGCCATTTTCTGGCTCAAAACCAGGCAACCACCAGCATATAAATATGAAATGATAGAGAAAACTGAGTTCCAAGGAGCTGTATGATTGCAGAATTGTGGAAATCAGATTTCATGTTTGCCTGACAGCTGACTTAACTGGGAGAAGCTGATCACCTCTGGTCTTCTGAGAACTGAGCGGACACCAGGAAGCAGTCTGATCATCTCTTCATTCTTGAACAGCACATTGCCTCATCAAGCCCTCCATTAGAAAAAATCTCTCTTGCACCTGTGTTTGACAAAAATCATATGTTCTGTTTGAGATTTGAAATTTCTCTGGTTCCATGTTCCATAAATTCCAAGTTTCCAGCCAAAGCTCCTACCTTATCTTTAATCAATGGTGTTGCATTTCCAGCAAAAAAAAAAAAAGAGGAGTTGGGCAGCCCTGTTGCTTCCCCTCTGCAGTCTATTGAACTTATGTATAATAAGCATATACAAAACTGAGACCAGTGCCTTGGAAATCCTTCTAAGCTTCCCCTGAAGGCCAAGCAGTTGTATTCCTCTCAAATTATCTGTGCTTTAAGCCTAACAACTGCAGATTTTTCTCCAGCTTCTCTATTTATCCTTCTACCAACATTTTCCCCCTCAAAGATTCAAGCAACGGTTTTGTCTTTAAGGGAACTGGTCATTTGTAATTGTTCTCTTTCTACAGGATAAATTCAGTTTCAGGGGGAAAAAAACAACAAAAAACAAAAAGTCACCGATCATTAAAGCTTTCTGATGTTGTTCTCTGTCAGAAACAATTTCAATTTTGTTCTGACTTTGGTAAATTTCACTTATGGAACTTAATAGGTTAGCAGTTTAGATGTTTCTCTGAACGTGGGGAGAAGAGCAGGAGGTGAGGCAGGACAAAGGGCTTCTCAGGCAGCAACTGAAGCAGCTGCTTCTTCAGCTTGTGCTGAAGGACACAGGGCAACCTTTTTCTCTGAAAGTACGAGCAGTTTTATACATGTTCACTTATTTTTTCTCCTTTCTTGTCTAGAAAATATCAATGGATTAATCTCAATATTTCCATGAATTTTCCCAACTTAAAAATGGCTTGTCTCCAAAACACCACAGAGATGAGCTAAGGAAGGAAAAGCAAAACTGATGCATGTCAGCTGCACTCAGCATCTGCACGGCTTTCCCAGGCAATGGGATGATTGGCTGACAGAAAGTTGCTAAACAACCATTCCATGCTATGCTTTGCTTTGCTTGCAGATGCATCACCAGGTAGCTTACATCTCCAGCATTCTCCTGCAGCCCTTACATACCAGCATAATTTTCCACTAGCTGCTACACCTTCAAGGATTATTGAGAGGAGACAGCAGTCCTCAACCTCTCACTTGTTAGTGAGAGCTGGACAGGATTAGCCCACACTGAGGGGAGTTTGAATGCACCAATCAGAAAAAATCACTTCCCCCAGGCCGCATGGGATTGGCTGAACACAGTGGGCACCACGAGAATATGAGAAGCTTTAAGTCAAAGTCTGCCTAGCAACCCAGAACATTCTGGAAGCATTAACAGTTGATGGGCAGCAGGTGCTGGTTTCTGCCTGCTGCACTGCAGCTGGGTGCTATGGGTGCCTGCAGTGTTTAGTCCCTTGCACTTCCAGCTGTGGTGTAATTGTGCTGTTTCACTTGCCTTCTTTTTCTCATCCTCGTGAACTTGATGTGTTTCTTCTTGGTAAATGTGGTGGCTTGCTCCTTTGGGAAACTGGTGCTGTGAGGAGATGGGTGCTGTAAAACTTGCCTGAAGGAAAGGTGGGAATTGCTGTCCCAGCTGCTGTGGGTTCCATGATGGTGTTAAGCTTTTCTAAATACAGTTGCACAGTGCTGGCAGTTCCAGCCCATGCTGTGCAAGCAGCTCACCTGCACTGAGATGGTCTCTGTCCAGAAAATAGTTCTGTGTTTAAAACTCGGCCTGGGCGTGTGCTTTCTATAGTTGATTCCACCAGGTGTCCAGCCTGCGGTCCTCTTTTGATATTTATGAGGTCAAAGTTTTATACTTTCAGTGACTCATTTTCCGTGCTGCGCTGTTGAGTTAATTTAAAGCTGAGCAAAAGGATGAAACCGTGGATTGAGGGGTCAGAGCAAAAAGGTAAATCGATAGCTTCCATATTCAAATAGGCTTTGATAACTCCCTGCAGCCTGTTTTCTATTCCTTTTTGTTTCATCCTCTCCTCTAAAATATAACAGACTGTTTCTTATTTTGGTAATAATTCACTACATTTAAGGAATGTTGAATTCAGCCAAAAACCATCTTGCAGAGCAGATCATTCACTAATGGAGAAAAAGGACTCCAGTCTGTTCATAAAAGTAGCCTATCAGCTTCACTGGGGATTTTAATTTAAATAATCACTGAGAGGTGGGACTGAGAGACTTGGATTTTTGCCTGTTAATGAAAATTTAAAGAGTAATTACACTATTAATACATATCAAATCCTTTTTTTTTCATTTTGAAACACTTTAAAATGCAGTGTAAAATACTAGCACTTTTGCTCAAGGGGGCAGGGAGGAATATTTTTGTTTCATATCCATGGCAACTCTTATTTTTATTAGTCTTTAAAAAGAATTTGCTACTCTTAAACCTCTTTTTAAAAAAGTTATTGAATCATAGCCTCTTTGTTTTCTATTAAAATATATTTTCTGTTTATTGAGACATTGAATAGCTCTTCCTTTTTAAAAGAGTATAAATATAAAAATGACTATTAAAGAAAAAAGAATTCTTTAAAGAATTTTTCTCATTTCAGTTCAACAGCCTTAAATATTTCAATACTGGGTAACTCCCAGTATATTCATTTTTTAGGCTAAGGAGCTGAGGCCTTTCCCTTTTAAGAGAATCAGAATTTTGGGTTAATCTCTAACTTCTGATAAAATTCTTGCCCTTTTCCCTGGAGATACGTGTCCCATATATTAATTACTCTGTCTTTACCTTCTTCATATTTAATAGGTGAAATTTATGTTGTGGCTCAGACTTAACATTTATTGTAGGGAAGGAAAGGAACACTTCAATATAGCCTTTTATGGTTGTTTGTTTGTTTTAATGAATTATTCAGTATTAGAAAATAAGAAGACCAAAATCTGTGTTATGTAAAAGTACTAAAGCAAGGTTCCTTTTCTTGTAGGCTCAAGAACATGAAATGTTGAATTGATTTTACTAATGCCTTTCAAGTGAAATTAGATTTTTGGGAAACTTATAAGAGTAGAAGGAATCAACATTAGTAACAGTTTATAGTATCAGTGGGAATCCCTGGCAATGATTCTGATGTGAACTGGAAATAACTTGTGGCTTCATCAGTGTATGCACTTCAGCAGCATCCTCAAGTTAAGCTGCTCTAAGCTTGCAGGTTTTACTAGTAAGCTATCCTTGGATTAGCCTCAAAGTTTAATTTTCATCAACCTTGCCACATTTTTCATTATAAGTTGGTCTAAATACTCTTTCACTCTGGAAAAATGCAAACGACATTAACTTAGGACCTGTGTCATGGTAAATGACTTCTGAAAACTGGCCTTTCATATGCTATACCCCTTCTTTCTGAAAGAAAGGGATAAATTGGGAACAAATAGATGAAGCAGAATGTATACATTGGGATTTTGTATAAGTTGGGATTTTGTTTAATAGCCTTCTTATGTTCTATCAGAAAGGGAGTATCTGGGATGAGCTTCTAGATGTGAGAGTACTGAGTCTTACATGTGTAGGAATGGCGTTCTTTCATATGTTTGCTAATGTTCACAGGTTATATGAATCTGAAAAATGAAGCCAAGTAATGTGCTGTAAAGTCTTATCACTTGACTAATTTAAATGTTGGAGCTGCATGTACATTTTGTATGCCCCAAAGAATACTTCAGGAAAAAATCTTTTTCTGAGATGAGCAACTCATTCCTTGCTTTTCATTTCTGTTTTTCCATTTCTTTTGTGTCCTTCCCAACGCAATTCTTGTTATAGGCAAAGGATCAATATTGCATTTTCAGAACTAAATTTTAAAATCTATATATTGAAAAAGTGAAAGTTTGTGACAGGAATATTTTTCTTTTGCCATGTGTTAGGCTGCATTCATTCTCCAGGGAAGATTGTTTGCCAAAGGTTCTCTGAGCATACATTCCATAAGCAAGGAACCTCGCTGAGAAGTGTGCCACTGGACCTACCCGTGCAGGTGGAGAGAGCCAGCCAGCCAAGTGTCAGTGCAAGAGGGGCTTCCCATGCACTGTTTAGTGGGCAAAGCTTGCTGCAGCTGAGGAAATCATGGAATTGGCATCATGAACCCAGGACGTGGAGAACTGATGGAGGAATGCAATAGGTAGGGAGATGCATCTTCTTTCTGTCTTATACATCACTGCATTTAAAACTGTTTTAGTCTCATGCTGCAATTGGGTTTGTGAACTCCTTGGTCTTTGTGGAGTTGATGGCAGGAGAAAGCTGACAGCTTGGAGATTGGATATTTTGCCTTCTTGTCAGCTAAGCTAATCAGTTATGAAGAAATAAACATAAAAAAAAAAACCCCTCTTTTGTCTATCTCCTGCTAAAAATAGTCATGTAAAACAATAAAATTCACAGCAGCTTAGAAGTGCTTTTTAATTTAATATTAAAATTAAGATACTTGCTTAAATACAAGACCTAAAAGTGGACATTGTATTCCCCATCATTTTTTGAAAATAAATCCTTTGTTATTTTTAGGTTCCAGTGTCTTAACTGATTAAATAGATATAATTGTGCATTATAATAATCAATATTTTAAAAGACATTTTGTGGTAAATTAAGCCTGTGAAATCAATGTTGAATAGGTGTTTAAAAAAAAAAAAAGCTGTGAAAAGTGAATTAGCTGTTTGTTTTCACCTGAGGGCATTTGGTAGGCTGCATTACTTGTTTTCAGATCTGATTGGAAAATGTTTATTTTCCTCATGATACCATTGTTTTGATGATGAATGCTCTTGGATGTTATGCTTGTGAATTGTTTCCAACATTTCTAGTCAGGTAGGTGTGCTGATACGTTTAACTTATGTGAAAGTGTAGTATTTGCTCAGAGATAAAGCCCAGTTTGACCTGCTGCAGCTTAAAAATGGATTTGAGTACATAAAATTACAAATTCCATGTTGTGTGAACACGTTCTAGAGTTCAAATTCCTAGCAGTGGAAAAAATATATTGTATATAGGATTGGTATTTTGAATGGCATGTGCTTGTTTTTATCTTTTGTGCCTACCTTTGTAATTGAGAAAGTCAGCGGAGGAAGAGTACCTAACCAAGTGTTGAAGATGAGTTATAAGAAAACATTGGTTACTATTGTGTTGTTTTGGAAGTGTTCTAATCTGAGAAACACAGGTTTGATTTGCTTTCTGCACTAAGACTGCTTTTCAAGTCAGAATTCAGTCATGCATACTAATCTTAGTATATCAGCTGTGAATGAGGTTTCTTTTGAGTTTGCTCAGTAACTCTGTGACTGACACGGAATGGGAACACATGGGAGGACATTGAGGCAATGTGTTATGGCAAGGTGATCCGATAAAAATTTCATCAGACTGAGAAAGATGATGCAATAAAAAGAGGACCTGAGCCAGTTGCCTATATGAATATATATATATTATACACATATATAGGGAAGTCCTGCTCACCACAAAACAAACAAACAAATACAAACTGATTCCATGGTGTCTTAAATTTAAGTGGGGCTTGATTTTCTCTATAGAATCTGTTGCCACAGTGCCATCTGAAGAAGTTTCTTTTACAATATAAAGCTTGAGCTGTTTAAAAAGCTCTTTTAGTAGTGTGAGATGTCATGCACCAGTGTTGAATGTTAACTGTGATGAAATGAATGTGTTGTGAGGAAAAAAGTACTATGAAGAATTCAAAGGGGGGGAAAAAAAAACAACCAACCAACCTTCCAGAACTTCAGGTCATTGCACTCCTGTTCTTTATTGAGTGCATCTTCTGCACATTGTGTGTGGGAACTCTTCTTTTTGGTATCCCAAATAAAATCCGTTGGTATATTGGAAGTGCAGAAATCTAGGTGATAATGAATTCCAAACATGCTTTTTATTTGCTTTTAAATTTTCAGTTCATGAGAAAAAGAAACTATTTAGGTGGATATATGTATTCTCATTTATAAAATGGTGTGGAAAATTGTGCTTTAAAGAATGCATTGCTTTCAAGCAATTCCCATAAAATCAATCTACAGTGTACTTCTCTCAGTAGTGGAGATCTTGCTTTCAGAACTTAGAAACACCTTTAATCAACAGTTACCTCCAGCTCAGGTTTTTTGCCATTTATTTTTGTGGGTCAGATAAATTAGAAAGGAGTTTGACTCAATTAAGGAGCAGCAATCACAACTGTAAAAACTTTAGCATTTTTTTTTTTTTTTACACTACAACATTATGCAATATTTTTAGAAACTCTTGTCCCCACTAGAACCGTGAAAGAATTCTGCAAGCAACTGATTTCTTTTTTTTTTTCCTTCCATGTCTGTTCAAAGAGCATCTGGAAAGTTCTGTTTTTAGTATAGTGCGAGTAGTATTTCTGGCTACTACATGTAGGAGTACAATTCACATCTGCAGTCTGTCCTTGGAGCACAAGTTCTCTACTGCTTTCTAAATCTTCTGAACTGTTTTGAACATGTTGCAGAGTGAAGTCCTTGGGACCTGGTTGGCTTAATGCTAGGGTACAGATCCTGTCGAAAGTCACCTGGTTCAAGTTTGCTACACGTGTTTCACACGGTGTGTATGATTGTTTCCGTTCAGCAGATACTCTGGTACAGAAGTATGGAAGTCTGCACCAAGAGGAAAACCTTGCATTTAAGTTTTCCAGTTTCAAATTGGTTTTCCAACTGACCAGGCTGCAGTAGTTAGGGTGGTGGCAGGGATGTTGTTGCTTTCTTTTTCCTCACCTGAGAACAGCAGACTGTAATTTACACAAATGTCAAATGAAGTTTTACAGCAAATCCAGTCATATTAAGTCATGTCTATGTATTACATAGTCAGGGGCTGTGTGATCTATACTTTTGTTTTCTAATTAGTTATGCAATGCATTGAAACATTAGGATTTGAAGACTCAATCATAAATGTTCCTCACAAATATCTGTATTTGCTGCATGGGGAGAAGAGGAGAGAGAGAAGCTATTTGTTTTCAAAAACTAAAGTTTCTGAAGTGGAAAATATTTTCTTTAGGTCAATTGATTATTGACATCAAATATTTCCATTTCTCAGATGATGAGCTGAAACAAGTCCTGCTTGATGAGAACAAAGGCTGCTCTATTATAGTGGATGATTAGACTTCCAAACCTAATTATCCCCTTTGGGACTCAGCACAGACCTAATGCAGCTTGGATTATGGAGGCAGGTTCTTCCTTTCAACTTTGTTCAATAGATTTCTGACAAGTCTGTTCTTAAAGATGATTGTGCTTCAGCATAATGATTATAGAAATCTCTGTAAAGGAATCACTGGATTTTTTTTTATTTATTTTTACCTTTTTTTGGTAGTTAGAAGGCAACAGCTATTATGTTTACCTTTGTGGCTTCTTTTTTCCACATTATTTTTATTCAGATATTTTTTTCAAGCACATCCACCCTTACGTTCAATATATTAGAAGTGATTGATGCATTGAGTGTCTACCATCTGTATAACATTTTCATTTGCAAAACAAAATTGTCATCTAAAAGTGCATTTGTGTGATCAATTGAAGTGGTCATTGAGCAGTTTAATTGCCACGTCTAATTATAGCTTGATGTGCTGATGAATGGCATAGGAGTTAAGATAAACTGGGGAGTCGCTGAGAGTTGCATTTGTGTGTAGGCAGACTGTGTGACATTCAGACAAGAACATGGCTGCTCAGTGACCACTTAAGGCTACCAGTGAAGAAATAATAGGTTGCAGGTAGGCCCTGGAGCTTCAGTGATGAAGTCAACTGATCAGCTTTAGGTGTTTCCAGTAACTGATCCGTACTGCAGATCCTAAAACATTAAGGCATGTTTGATTTTCAGAGAAGGATAATAAAAAAAATACATATTAAGTTTAAATCCTAAGCTTCACTGTAAACATTAGTGCTTTTTTAGCAGTCCACACTTAACACAGAATACATTTTTAAAATAACTGTAAGTCATGTAGCAAAGTGCATCTACCCAACTCTTTTAGTTCTTTACTCAGCACTTCCATTACTGCATTTTTTTGTAGTTAAGGTATGAATAGTTACAAACAATAGACAGGGAAAACAGAAAAAAATTTCTACACTTGTAAATAACAGGAACTCAGTTTGCATTTAGTGGTTTTATATTTTGCTGGTCCAGAGTTAGAGTGAGTACAGATTCAAAAAACTTTGTTCTAAAATAATAATTAAAACATTTGTTGATTAGTTTGTAATTTACTTTTTATTACTAAAGCAGCTGTCTTTTTCTTGAAGACCAAAAAATTGATTGTCAATGTTTTAAACAATAATAATTTAAATGATTGTAATAAATAATTTATTGAAATGATTATAAGATGATAGTTAAAATGCTGACTGCCTTGCTTTGCTGATTTCCTTGATTCACTTCTTGAGGTATTTTTAAACAAGCATTAGGATTTCAGTAAACCTGCTCATTTTTTAAAGCAGTGTATGGAGCAACCCCAGCTTTGGCAAGTATCCTGGGAGATGAGAAAATGTAAACTGAGTATTTGCTGGTAGAAAATCAAAGTAGAAGGTGGTAGTTTTGATAACATCATAATTATTATTCTTGAATATAGAGTTCAAATTTTACTTTAAGGTATTTTAAAGATGAGGATCGTTGTATCCTTTTATGCTATTTTGTGCAGTTGAACACTGACAGACAACATAGAAAACTTGTATTTTTCATGTATTTGAGACCAAATTATAACATCAGTTCTTTGTGTTTATCCAAACAATCCATTGCTCCAGTACTGGTGGAGTTTGGCTGGGTGTCTCATAGCAACAGTCCTTTAAGAATCTCCAGTCATCCTCTGTGATTTGGATCCTGCTTGTTATTGAGAATAGGAGAAGGAAATAAATAAATAAATACCATGGAAGTTTTAAGGTGCTTTTATTAGATGTGGCAGAGAAAGGGGCTGAATTCTGAATATGTTTGTAGTGTTGGTGGTGGTGGGTTTTTTTTTGTTTTTTTTTTTTTTTATAATACTGTTTCAACTATGTCTTGAGGCTCAAAGAACATGGGAAAGAATGGAGGGTGGAAAGGAGGGAAAAATGCCTTGACATCTAAAACGTTTCCAGCCCGCTTGTAAATATGGGTACACCCACACCTACACTTCAGAAGCAGCATGCAAAATTTTTCTCTTATGCTTGCACAAACTTAATGGGAGTCCAACAGCTAAATTACCATGTCAGTGTTTTAAAGTGTTTGATTTTCATTATTTGTTTGGAGGGTTGCCTTCTGTAAACTCTGCAACTTTCTTATCATAGAAACCTTAAAAAAAAAAAAAAAAAAAAAAAAAAAA